CTTTGGCCTTCCTATTGAGGTAAAACTGTAGTAATATTCAAGTAACTACAGTTGGTTATGGAAATCGACTTGGGAAACAATTTATAACTAAAAAGACTTTTAATTATCTTTAAAATTTTTTATTACCCCGTCCATATGTTACAAACTCCATATTGAGCATTTGTATTTATATCCGACTGGGTATTTCTAATTTTTTTGAAAGACATTTGGTCTTTTAAACTCGGCGAAACATGAGGGATGTTTCTGTAAGATTCTTGTTGCTCAAGATTATGCAGAGGATGAAATTGTTGATTTAGTTTTGTGGCTTTGGATTCAGGATTAGATGTTTTTAATTTGTTGTTTCTTTGAGAATTATATGGTTTTCTTTTATTGCACTCCAAATTTTATGTTTATTATCTTGAAAATGATGAAGAAAAAGTAGAAATAATGATTCAATTAAGATTAATGTCTTCACAGCCGGACCCAAGTGTAAAGACAAGTTGTGAATTTTTTTAAGACTAAATTGATAAACCAAAAGATGATGAGTCTATACACATAGAAAAACGTTAAAAGATAAAGAATTTTAGAGACGTTAAAAGATAAAGAGATTTTGTGTTGTTCTCTTGGTCTCTTAATTTGGAGTGGGAAAGTAAAAGATATTCTCGGATTCTTAGTTCCCGTCAAAGCAAACTTTGCATAATATGGTTGGATCCTAAAGTTTTGTAGGCTCATGTTTTGGAGGAATACTATGTAGACCCTGGAAGTACCGATATTCATATTCAGGTGTACAAGATTTGACTGGTTTGCATGTCACGTGGTTATTTAGTTTAATGTTTCTGTGTTGAAAAATAGGCCATGTTTTCAGTTAAACAAATAGCTTTTTATGGAAGCTTCATATAGTATTATGGTTTATGTGCATCTGGTGTGAGTTGATATGTCTTATTCTTAAATAAATTTGACAATATACGTCCACACAAAGTATACATGGATATACTTGGCATATCATAAGTGAGATTGTAATTTTACATGAGATTGTACTATTTCCGTCTGTTATTCTAATTTCATCACCCACACACACAAGAATGATGGCACAATGTCATCTAGAAGGTACAAGTACAGGTATTGTGAAGGAATATACTAATATATATATTATTTGCGTGTAATGGATTTTCACTTTCACTTATGCAAGTTTACAAAATTGAGGGCGAAAAGAGCCACATGTTTTCTTGGTATAAACTGATGATGGGTTTGGCGAACATATGGCGACAATACTAAAGTCCTTGAGGACAGATAAATGTTCAAAGTGGAAAATATCTCATGTTAAACTAAGGGCGAAAAGAGCCACTTATTTATTTTTTAATTTTTTCTATTATTATACATTGATGGTTTGCTGGTTTCAAGATCTTGATATACAGATATACCGGCCTGAGTGGTGGCAACAAGGGCTGGCGGTTGCCAGGAAAAGGAAAACATATAGTTTTAGCTCCCGGTACCTAGAGGCTCTCGCACAGAATCCCTCAAGGTCTTTAGAAAATCTCTCAATGTCTACTAAGTTCAATGGGATAAGCACTAAAGCATATATTATAATGCTTTTTTATATTATTTTTTTTTATCATATTTGTTTGGTTTTTTATGGAGTTTTCGCTTTTTTGCGACAAAAACTTAATTTCATATGAGTAATATTCATTTCCATAGTTTTTTGGTGGTTGTGTTTTCTGTTTGACTTAAGAACCTGACTTGATATGCTATGGAGCAAGTTTGGGTTGGCTTGTAGCAGTGCTTCTTATTCACTCATGTTCTCTGGTAAATATTTGGTGATGTTGCTCTATAGTGCAAGCTTTTTTGATGAAGCTGCTGAGATGGACTTAAATACTTTAGTAAAGGAGAATGTACTTCAATGTTCCATGGTAAATATTCTCATGAAAGATTGTCGTTGCTTTTTTTTTCTTATTCATTTTTCACAGGCTTAAAATTTATATTTTATTTGGTTGATGACCTATCTTTTCGAACTGGCTCAAATATCATTAGTAATTAATACCATTAAGGCATATTTTCATTTCATTATATATTTTGTATATATATTTTTTTTAAAGTGGCTTGCACATGTTACGTTTTTATGAAGGAATTTTGCAATTGTCATCCGCTAAATGCGAGGATAGTGTATGAATTTTTTTATTGGATTTGTTTGAAGGGGTAGCCAACCTTTTATTTTTAGTAAAATTTTAATTTGATTATCAACTAAACTTGAGCCGGCTGTGCGTGCACAACCGAGAGACGACTAGTATATATATATATATATATATAGAGTTAGGATCATATGAGAATGGTATATAGTGAAAGAAATAAGAATAAATTTGTGTCATTGGATCCAATATATCAATGGCTATGATAAAGTCAATTGTATTAAATAATGGTCAAACAATCAATGTATAAATAAATGTCATATTGTGGCCAAATGTATAAATTTACCCACTTAGTAAGGACATTCTGGTCATTACACATGCATATACTATCCAAGTGGGCCCCACCAATTTAAATAAAATTCACCCCCTCTCTCTCTCTCTCCACGCACGCACGGGACACTCACATTCACACATTGCCGGCGACCACCTTCCTTCCGCCGGAGATGTCGCCGGCTACCACCTTCATTCCGACAGCGTCATCGCTGCATTCAGCCGAGTGGTGTCGACGGCCACCGGGCGCAGATTGCAGGCGGCCAAATCCGGCTCCGACCGACCAACACAAATTCTGCGGCCATCGACCGACAACGGCCAAATCGACCAATTTGCCGGCGGTTCTCTCTAGCAATCTCTCTTCCGACGTCGAGGGCCTTCGAGTCGACGATCAATTTGTGTCTTCCTCCACGATCCAGAGCCCGCTGCCACTGGAGATTCATCTTCCCTCGCAGCCTCCTTGGTGATGTTTGCATATGCCGACGAAAATTACGCGGTCTTAATCGCCGGAGGTCCGTTCACCAGGACGTTTGCCGGATGTTGGGGCTGAAAATAGGTGGTTTGTACACTACAAGCAGGTATTGAGATTTAATTTTGGATCAGTTGTTGGAAATTTGACATCCAATAAGGACTCATTTGCAATTTAGTTTGGGACTCAATTTGACATACAATAAGGACTCAATTTGACCTCAGTCAGAGTCCAGATTCAATTATGGATAAAGAGGCGAGACCAGAATAATGTGACTATCTATACTATTGGATTAACTGGGCACAACCTATTTGAAAAGGCAATGCTTTGGTGCAACGAGCTTTCTGCACCCTCGAATAGTTTTTNNNTTTTTTTTTTTTTTTTTAAATATTACAATTTGTTGTATGGATTAAAAATGTAATTTATAAAAAATATAACAATTTCATATTTTTGTTCAAAGCACTGCACATTAGTGTTTGTTATATTGCACATCAATTATAAATAGATTGCACAATAGCGTGTGTGTATACACGTTAAAAAATTAGAAATTTACAAAATTTATCGACACACTCCATATTGTGCAATATTGTTTATCGGTTGGTTCGACCGAATTGACCGACCGGAATGTTTAAACCGAAACAATGGAGTCGAACATTAGAAAAATTTGAACCGACCGAACTATTAATAATCCAAATTCGAATAAAAATTGAGCCAACTTACTTGATTCACTCGGTTGGCTAACCGATTCGAATTGAAAAGATTATTTCAGCCGGTATCCTCTGTTAGTGTGTAATCTAATAGTCATTATTGTAAGTTTCGTGTAACACTAATGTGCATCGCCAGACATAATAATAATAATAATAACAATAATAATAATAATAATAATAATAATAATAATAAATAATAATAATAATAATAATTATTTATTATTATTATTATTATTATTATTATTATTATTATTTTATTTTCATATTATCGATCGGCGCAAACATAATGTTTGTTACGAGTGAAGTTACTTATATTAAAATTATATTTAATATGTTAATAAAATTATTTATTGATAAAGTGCAGCGTGATGTTTTTTAAAGTGCAATGAGTTGTTTTATAAAGTTCAATATGTTGAGTTGATGTATAAAGTGAAACACTGTAATTTTTGTAAGTTAGCATACTTATGTTTTGTGTGGATAAATAATATGATTTATGTTAAAATATTATCTATGTCATTTTTTTAGATTTATGTTGTATGGAATTTTATCTGGAGATTTTGACAATAATTGTGGAGTTTGGTGATAAAGTGCAACGCATTGTTTTATAATGTGCAACTTCTTATTTTATAAAGTGCATCGTGTTGATATATAAAATGCAGTACATTAAAAAAAATGTCAATGAAACCATAATTCTC